TGAGGACACCTTAGCTGAAACATTCCCACTTGAACAGATGTACACTTAGCTTGTTATTTCTTGATAAATAACGCGTCAACACAAAATAACACGCTTAAAATCTTACCAAATTAATTACCAAATCAAGATGACGTGAAAATGAGCAACGCTGTTAAAGTAGATATCTAAATTGCATTTTGTTTTAAGTAAACTCGCGTATTTCGTGAAAAGTTTGGAGAAAAATCACTAACACACAGTGAACTAGGTGTAAGATATGATAATCAAACAAAAGTACCATAATTAAATATACATGTTTACATAAAAATAGTAATTCTATTAAAAAACAATAACTTAACTTATTGCAAATGAAAATGAGTTTCGTTAAATAAAAAATACTCAGGACATATACAAGGCTTGATGAGATTTAATAGCCTTCCTTTCGTCGATGAAAATATTCATTTCACCCTCTTTCTCTTTATATTAGTTAACATTGTCATCGCTGGATTGTTGCATCAACACAGAGTGGTGGCATCAACACAGAGTGGTAGCATCAACACAGGGTGGTAGCATCAACACAGAGTGGTGGCATCAACACAGGGTGGTAGCATCAACACAGGTGGTAAGCATCAACACAGGGTGGTAGCATCAACACAGGGTGGTAGCATCAACACAGGGTGGTAACATCAACACAGGTGGTAACATCAACACAGGGTGGTAGCATCAACACAAGGTGGTGGCATCACACAGGGCATCAACACAGGGTGGTAACATCAACACAGTGTGGTGGCATCAACACAGGGTGGTAACATCAACACAGGTGGTACATCAATACAGGTGGTAACATCAACACAAGGTGGTGGCATCAACACAGGTGGTAGCATCAACACAGGGTGGTAACATCAACACAGGGTGGTAACATCAACACAGGGTGGTAGCATCAACACAGGTGGTAACATCAACACAGGGGTGGCATCAACACAGGGTATCAACACAGGGGTAGCATCAACACAGGGTGGTAGCATCAACACAGGGTGGTGGCATCAACACAGGGTGGCATCAACATCAACATCAACACGGGTGGTAAGCATCAACACAGGGTGGTAGCATCAACACACAGGGTGGTAGCATCAAACACAGGGTGGTAACATCAACACAAGGTGGTAACATCAACACAGGGTGGTAGCATCAATACAAGGTGGTAACATCATCAACACAGGGTGGTAACATCAACACAAGGTGGTAGCATCAACACAGGTGGTAACATCAACACAGGGTGGTAACATCAACACAAGTGGTAACATCAACACAGTGTGGTAACATCAACACAGGGTGGTAGCATCAAACACAGGTGGTAACATCAACACAAGGTGTTAACATCAACACAAGGTGGTAGCATCAACACAAGGTGATAGCATCAACACAAGGTGGTAGCATCAATACAGGGTGGTAACATCAACACAAGGTGGTAACATCAACACAGGGTGGTAACATCAACACATGGTGGTAACATCAACACAGGGTGGTGGCATCACACAGGGATCAACACAGGGTGGTGGCATCAACACAGGGTGGTAGCATCAACACAGGGTGGTAACATCAACACAGAGTGGTAGCATCAATACAGGGTGGTAACATCAATACAGGGTGGTAACATCAATACAGGGTGGTAACATCAACACAAGGTGGTAACATCAACACAGGGTGGTAACATCAATACAGGGTGGTAACATCAACACAGGGTGGTAACATCAATACAGGGTGGTAACATCAACACAGGGTGGTAACATCAACACAGAGTGGTAGCATCAATACAAGGTGGTAACATCAACACAAGGTGGTAACATCAACACAGGGTGGTAACATCAACACATGGTGGTAACATCAACACAGGGTGGTGGCATCACACAGGGATCAACACAGGGTGGTGGCATCAACACAGGGTGGTGGCATCAACACAGGGTGGTAACATCAACACAGGGTGGTAGCATCAACACATGGTGGTGGCATCACACAGGGATCAACACAGGGTGGTATCAACAGAGTGTAGTGGCATCAACACAGGATGGTGACATCAACACAGGATGGTTACATCAATACAGGGTGGTAGCATCAACACAGGGTGGTGGCATCAACACAGGGAAGTGGCATCAACACAGGGTAGTGGCATCAACACAGGGTGGTGGCATCAACACAGGGTGGTAACATCAACACAGGGTGGTAGCAACAACACAGAGTGGTGGCATCAACACAGGGTGGTGGCATCAACACAGGGTAGTGGCATCAACACAGGGTGGTAGCATCAACACAGCGTGGTAGCATCAACACAGGGTGGTAGCAACAACACAGGGAAGTGGCATCAACACGTACAGGGTAGTGGCATCAACACAAGGTGGTAGCATCAACACAGCGTGGTAGCATCAACACAGGGTGGTTCCATCAAACACAGGGTGGTAGCATCAACACAGGGTGGTAGCATCAACACAGGGTGGAAGCATCAACACAGGGTGGAAGCATCAACACAGGGTAGAAGCATCATTACACAGAGTGGTGCATCAACACAGGCCGCGTGGTGGCATCAACACAGGGTGGAAGCATCAACACAAGGTGGTAGCATCAACACAGGATGGTAGCATCAACACAGGATGGTAGCATCAACACAGGATGGTAGCATCAACACAAGGTTAAAGTTTATAAATGTGTAATAGTCATTATGAACCTTTCGCAAGGTTATTTTTACATATATCACACCAAATATCCTTTTTGTATATCAGAAAATCGAAGATTAATAATAACCATAAATAGAATCTATATGTAAATTATTTTATTTCTAACCAAAAAATCAAAATATATGGAGATAAATGTCTTTAATACATTTAATATTCCATTGTAATAATAGAACAAGTAATGTTAAAACATATTCACGTTAATCAATAAATGAACAAATACATTTGTAACTGTACATTAAGGGAAGCAACTGTGTTTAACTTGTAAACTTGCACGTTGTACTGTTTCTCTCCCTTGAATAAGTGCTTACTTACTGTTTATCTATGGAGGGCGGTTATTGCCAAAATTCCAGACAAAAGGAACACTTTACATGTCCAACCTGCCTCCATATTTATCAGAACAGATCTTGTTCAGTTCCTTTATTCTACTGTTGTAAACAGTTTTAAAATTGTCAAAGGTTCAATCCTTTTTATATTTTATTTCTCATTATTTAGTTTTTGACGCTGTAAATTGACATATATAAATATGTACATTAATTGCATGATAAAAATATGATTGAGCTTTTCTATTGTTTTTCCTTCCTTATTTAAGTACGGTGTTACTGTATTTAACATGACAATTAATTCTGCGCCTCTGGTTTGCTCAGTTAGTAGAGCATGAGGTCATAGGATATCTGAGTTTCAAGATTGTGTTGGATATTGTATAACAATTTGGCTGCTGGTGTTATCTTGAATGTCTCCAGCACTCCGTGTTCGTGTCTCAAGCACTCCGTGTTATTGACTCCAGCACTCTGTGTTCATGTCACCAGCAATCTATTTTCATCTGCATACTGGCCATATTGGCACATTGGCATGAACCAATCATAAGGCATTACATATAATGATGTATCGATGTGTTAAGAATTTGGGCAGTAACTAGCAGAAAGACTTGCTGTCACAAATTCACAATGTAGGAACAATTGTTATGTAGGCCAAACTGCCTATTAGTCTATGACTTAAATAAACTGATTATAATTACACTTCCTTCAAATTATAAATGTAGATGTATTTATGGTTTACAGTATAAATCTAGAAATTAAAGTTTCAAGCTACTTTCAACATTTTAGTTAAGACAACATGATCATTTAGGACATCACAGCTGTTTGTCAATTGTCCACAATTTATTGAAATGACATCTCTGAAACCACAAGGTTAGATTTGATGGACATTTGCAGACAAGGGTTGTTAATTGTTTTATTTTATTTTATTTTTTTTTTTGGGGGGGGGAGGGGGCATTTTTTTATTTCTATAATTTTTTATGTTGTTTTTATATATTTATTTTTCTGCCCCTTTTATTCTCCCCGTTCAAATGACCATTATGGGTCGGGGAACTATCCCTTACTGACCTTGCAAAATCACTTTTGCATATAAATATACAGCAGTTATAATTTAACAAAAAAATCATGATTTCAATAAAGTGGGTTATGGTCATATCCTAATTAATGGCCCCTTTTTATTAGTTAAAAATGGTTGAATTAAAAAGATAGAATGATGATATGGATTGGGAGTGTTAATTAGGCCAGGTTTTATTGAATATTTCTACCATGTCGTTTTTAACGCTATTATTTGTTCAAGTTCAAAACGTCCCAGATTTTAATTTTGTTCCAAATTGTTCAAATTTTGGGAACACTGATTTGAATTTACATTTGTATATGTGTTACTTTTGCAAGCAAATGTATAATTATAAGTTACCGGAGGGGTGGTGTACCTGGAACATAATACCAGAAAGTGTATTGTCAGCAAAAACGGTACATTCATTTGAAAGGCGAAGAATAGTTTTTTGAGGTTTTGATTCACAAAACAGTTTTTAACGAAAGGCATGCATGAGATAAAGTTGTGTTTTTAAAATATATCAGCGTATACATTATTGTAAATAAGGATAATATGGGAACAACATTCGCATTAATGTATCATCAGCCTTTTGAGAAATTGTAAATGTGAAATTTCTAGAGTATTTTTTCAGAAACAAAGTTCTACAGCTTTTCTTGCATTCTTAATTTCAGTTATATGAAAAAATGTTTCTAATTCATTGATGTGATTGAGAAACAGGCCCAAAATATAAAGTATAAAAAACACATGGGTAGGGCCCTATAATGATTTGTTTATAAAGACTCCATATGGTGCCCACAGTGATATATAGTTGTGCAATATTAATTGATATGGGACTGATGTGCAATATTAATTGATATGGGACTCATGTGCTTAAATTTGGTGTCTTTATACCTATACTTAAGAATTTGGTAGCATTTACCCACAATATGCGCTCTTGTTTACACAAAAGTTGGTGACGTCATTCATCACTGCAACGCGTCGATAAATACCCAATTAGTTTGCATATTTTTGTACTTTTAAGTGATAAAATTTGTTGTCAGTATATTGTCAATATGTCAGATGCTTCAGAAGATCCAAATCTTAAAGCTGGACACGCCCCTGCAGGTTTGATATTGATTGTTTTTCACAGATTAACTATTTACTTTTTTATTGTTATTTAATTTAGTGGGTGGGGTAATTTAAAAACGCAAAAACTTGAAATACCATGCATTTTTTTTTTACAGAAGCAAAGCCCCGGTTAGAATTTTGATTCAAAGAGTATTTAGCTAGACTTTAGAATATGTCCGTGGCTATCATGGACATTTTACACAAAATTAATTATTATTTCTTTAGTACCCGTTTATGTTTCTAGCTCTTACAGGCGCTGGTCACATAATGAAATATTTTACATGATTGGCCTTTATATGTTTACAAAGATATAAGGTCCCCAATGTAACAAAAACATCATGCAGAACAAACAAGAACACTGCGGCAAGAAGCGACCAGATCACGGTTATCTCTTTGTGGTCGCCATTTGAAAGCATCAATCCAAGTGCTAACACTTTTTATTTCATTTGAAATCCCTCAAATAGCAAAAAAAATTGGGAAAAGTTTCGCAAAATGTCATTATTTTAAATTCCTGGATTGAAATTTTTACTCATTTCTTTGCTATTTGAAGAATTTTAATGAAATAAAAAGCGTTAACGCTTGTATTGATCCTTTTGACTGGCGACCAACCGTGATCTGGTTTTTTCTTGCAGCAGTGTTCAGCATGATGTTTTTGTTCTGTTGGAGACCTTATATCTTAAAATAGTATATAGCCCATATAAAACTTTAAAAAGTTTGTTTCAAGCACCTGTGCTCTTACTAAACATGTAACTCTTTGAGTCGAATTACTTTTTGTGTTTTACAGTTAATGGTCAGTGTTATGGGTTAGGGTTAAAGGGTTATGGTTAGGATTTTTACACATAAATTTTGCTGCGGACTGATTCTTTAAGTGCTTCAAGTATTTACCTCCAATTTTGATTATGAAAGGGTTTTTGAACTTTAGTATAATACAACATTTTCATACATATTCATTTCAAGAAGGACTGGTGTGTGGGAGGAACTATACAATGTTAGTCCAACTAGATTCTCTAATTAGACTTATCAAAGACGCCATCATATTAGTGAAGGGGCAATGTCTTTTTTCCAAGTTTATGTTACCTTCGTTAAAATTATGCCCTTAAAGATGTAAAGGTATAAATTATAAATGAGGCTGAGAACGTTCAGTAACTTTAAATTGAAATGTTCATCAGTTTATGATCTCAGTATATTATAAGCTACAAGCATTTAACCCATGAGGTTAAAGTCTCATCACAAGCACTTGATTAAGCACCAGTCAATTATAAATACTCCAATCACAATATGTAATTTTTACAGGGCTTTTTTTTTCAATTTTGGGGAAACGGCCTGGCCTTTCAGTTGGGGAAAAAATGTGCGATAAAATGACATTTTGGGGAAAATCTATTACATTAAAAAATGAGTTGATAACTTTAAAATTAACAATAAACACATGCCCTAAAAGTCAGCAGAGTCATAAACAATGAAAAAAGTTCAGATCTTTGGCCTTGAATTCCTTAAACATACAAAACCACTTTTTTTTAGTTGGAATCACTTTAGTCAATATCATTTGTGATGTTGCCAAGCTTCAACATTGTTGTAACCTCCTCACACACCTCCCCTATTTATTTCAAAATATAGCAAAAAAAACCCTGTGTATACACACATTTATATTTATATCATGTCAGTATCTAGATCAAGCCGTGAAACAAACAAATATATAGTAATGTATAACCACATTTCAAGTGATTCATTAATCTCTGTATTGTTTTGTTTCAGTCAAGGTTGGTGGGATGCGTGTAACCACTCACAAGAAGCCTGAAAAACCAGAAGAAGAAAAACCGGCAGAAGATGAAGCAGAGGAATTTGAAGTGTATGTTTCTTATACAAAATACAATGCATGTGCACTTCAGCTATTAACTTACAAAGTTTAAAGCATAAATTATCAACACAAATTATGTTTTATAATGTCATAGCCAGTGTTCCATTCTATTTCCCATTGCCTTATTTTAACTTATTGTATTAATTTTCAGTTATGACAACCAAGTACTTTCATTTTATTATGCCCTCGTCACAATAAAACAATTTGTGTTTATATTATTAATTATAAAGATTTTTAAATGGTTGTTTGGAAATTGAACTTAAGCCACTAGGCATGGGTTATATTGCAAGCAATCATTTATAGACGGTCATATAACCTGTCAGGAATATTTATATTAAATCTGTTATACAGCAAGCTTCCTTTTTTAGAGAAAAAAGTGAGGTTTCTTCATAAATTGACATCAGCCATGTATATAAAATAATACAAATGTCACAATTATCCAATGAAAAGTGATGTTACAAACATTCATTATTATACAATGTAAGTGTATCTGTTGTAAAAGTGAGGTTCTATTTTGGAAACCATGTAATGTTTAATTCATAGATCTGTCTATATGTAATATTCAACATGTTCTAACTTTTAAAATGTCAGATCATAGGTTGATGAACTTTTATAATAAGATCTGTTTTTTTATATCATCAGGCCTGAGAAAGTGGACAAACATCATCAACAGATATTGCTATCAGGAGCTGTAACCAAAGTAAGTATTGACCAGTGTGTCCGTTTGACCCTTGAAATTACTCTTTGACCCTTCAAATTACCTAAAGGTCTGATTTGATCTTAACTGGAGGGTCAAATTTTGTAAAATTATGAGGATTTTGTCTTGTAGTTGGTTTAATTTAGTCACAATGACCATTAAGATTACCTGGCTAGCAGAATCCTGCATTCTAGGCTTGTGTTTGTGTTGTGATTAGGGGTGTCACGTTTATCCATTTAAACTTGTTCTGTTTGCTTTAAGCTATTTTGTCTTGTATGGTACGGTTCTAACGGACAACAGTTACTCCATTGTTGAGTAATGTGAACAACAATGTGCTATCTTCTCAAAAAAGAAGTTAATGTTAAAAAGCAAAGTAATTCTTTTAGTACAGCCAGTAAAATGTTTAACATGGTTAGTAAGTTGCCGTTAAAAACGTTTTGCTAACTGCGGCTCCCCTAGTTTTGATCAAGCTAAGCAGAACATTATTACTGCATCAATAGTATAATTTAATAAAATTGTGTAAAGGTTGTAATGTTTTGGTATTCTGGCAATGGTCAATTATGTTTATGGCCTGATGTGGAATTGTGTCAATAGATTGATGGCAAAATAAGGTATTATGTTAATGGGCTAAATGTAATAATGTAGTATTATGTTAATGGGTTTATGGCACAATATGGTATTATGTTAATGGGTTTATGGCATAATATGGTATTATGTTAATGGGCTAAATGTGATATTGTGTCAATTGCTATTATGTAATAATGTAGTATTATGTTAATGGGTTTATGGCACAATATGGTATTATGTTAATGGGTTTATGGCATAATATGGTATTATGTTAATGGGCTAAATGTGATATTGTGTCAATTGCTATTATGTAATAATGTAGTATTATGTTAATGGTTTATGGCACAATATGGTATTATGTTAATGGGTTTATGGCATAATATGGTATTATGTTAATGGGCTAAATGTGATATTGTGTCAATTGCTATTATGTAATAATGTAGTATTATGTTAATGGGTTTATGGCACAATATGGTATTATGTTAATGGGTTTATGGCATAATATGGTATTATGTTAATGGGCTAAATGTGATATTGTGTCAATTGCTATTATGTAATAATGTAGTATTATGTTAATGGGTTTATGGCACAATATGGTATTATGTTAATGGGTTTATGGCATAATATGGTATTGTGTTAATGGGTTTATGGCATAATATGGTATTATGTTAATGGGCTAAATGTGATATTGTGTCAATTGCTATTATGTAATAATGTAGTATTATGTTAATGGGTTTATGGCACAATATGGTATTATGTTAATGGGTTTATGGCATAATATGGTATTATGTTAATGGGCGAAATGTGATATTGTGTCAATTGCTATTATGTAATAATGTAGTATTATGTTAATGGGTTTATGACACAATATGGTATTATGTTAATGGGTTTATGGCATAATATGGTATTGTGTTAATGGGTTTATGGCATAATATGGTATTATGTTAATGGGCTAAATGTGATATTGTGTCAATTGCTATTATGTAATAATGTTGTATTATGTTAATGGGTTTATGGCACAATATGGTATTATGTTAATGGGTTTATGGCATAATATGGTATTGTGTTAATGGGTTTATGGCATAATGTGGTATTGAGTCAATAGGTTTATGGCATAATGAAGTATTGTGTTAATGGGTTTATGGCATAATATGATACTGTGTCATTGGGATTATGGGCATAATGTGCTGTTGTGTAAATGGGTTTATGGTATGGTATCAATTGGTTTATGGGCAAAATGTCTTATTGTATGATTGGTTTTTGGCATAAAATGGAAGTGTGTCAGGATTTCTATGGTGTAATGCAGTATTGTATCAGTGTCTGTGGTACAGTGTGTCATTTGAATTATGATTCATTTCTAGCTTACCTAAGCAAAATATTATCATAGTTTGTCTGCTGTCTGCCATTCATCCTAACCTATTATGTCATCAGACTACATTTCCTCCTAAACTAAATATTGTAATTTCACAGCAATGATTCTTAGGTGACCCTCTTCGAAAGTTATATATATGAATCCAGTCTGATGCAAAAGTAGGTCACACTGTAGTAAAAAAAGAGACTGTAAAAATGGAAGTCTTTAAAATAACTATGATGCCCTAAGCTTGGAAATCTGGCATGAAGCTCTACCTTGTGGTTCTGCACAAAAGATAGATCTACTTTAATCATGATAATATTGTGAAATGTGGCTCTGTCCTGGATGTCACTTAATTTATAGAGTTTATATAGAATTATGTATGAACAAAAATGATAAAAACTTTATTTTTGGGAAAAATTTTCCAGAGGGGAAGATGCCTATAAACGGCCTCTGCAATAGAAGGGGGAAAAATCCTTGTAATTTAAGTTACTTTACAGAGTAGAATGTCTGAATTACATTTACAGAAATTTGAGGATTTTCATTGGTAAGCTGTGAAAAATATTAATTGAATTTGGAATATTTTATTCTACATTTTAGGGGGACAAAGATTTTCCAGAAGCAGCCGTCAAGGCAATTCATGAAAAACGTCCACTGCCTACGCATGATAATAGACCAACCCACTCACCTCAGAAAATAATTCAGCAGCCAAGAAAATAGTCCAGTCACATGACTTGTTCATTAAATGGAAACCATGGTGATTTTGGTGCATCCTGGAATTGAAAAGACTTAAAAAGTTTGAATTTTTGGTGGAAGGACAATATTGACTGTAATTTTAGAATAGAAGAATATTAAATACCACTGGAATGGTACTGGAGTTTGTTTGTATGTTTAATCATATTCTGTTTTGTATCAAATAATGAAAAAAAAATATCAGGAATTATTCAAATTTAATGATGCATTTTAAGCTTTTCCATTATGTTGATGCTTATAAGAAGCTACCTTGCTCACCCATGTTTCTGCATTTAACACAATCACGGTCTAGGGTTTGATATTTATCTTTCTTACAACCTAATGAAACCATTCTCTTGCATTTGACAGCCATGATTTCAGCATACTGCCCTTGACCATATCAACTTTATCCAAGATTATTACTGAGTTATTTCACCTTTGAGAACTTCAAAACAAAACCAAAAATAAAAATAACCCTGGTGATAGTTTAGCATTGGAGGTTAAATTCTACATTTTTCTGCTGAAAGCATTTACTGAAGTTTTCAAAATAGATATATCTTCTGGCGATAATTTGATACATATTGGTCATAACTGCAGCATGAAACAAGTTAATTAAATCTTGTAGGGAAAATTCCTAACAAAACAATGTTACAAAATATTGATTTTTCTATAGCTAATGTGGAGTACAACAAACTTTTGATTAAACAATTACACAGTGGAAATATCACTTTTATACTTGTTAATGAAATGTTGGGGAGTCGTCGGTTATTGGCTAATGCTCTACATGTATGATGGCTCATTATATCCAAACATAATTTCGTAAATGAAAAACTATACTTGTTAAAGAAACTTTTACTGTCAATGTGACAACTCCTGTTTATTTTGATGTCATTAAATGTTCTTTTTATTGTTATAGAAATAATTTGAGGTTAAAATTTGCTGTTCAAATTCAATTGAAAAAGTATGTGTTTTTAAAAAGAGCAAAAAGTAATATAAATACAGTGCTCATAATTATTTGGAAAAAGGTAATGGAGAAAAAAGAACTTATAACAAGCATAGAAAATCATCAGTATATTATAATGTTGCATTTTGTCATCTACAGTCTTGTCCATTGGTGAAAAGTATGAACTCTAATGAAAGAAAATTGAAATTAATTGTTGAATAACTGTCTATATAGCAAACATTTTGTTCTGAAATCATTTGAGTCGCGCCATGACAAAACCAACGTAATGTTTTTGAGACCAGCATGGATCCTGATCAGACTGCGCGGATGCACAGGCTGGTCTGGACCCATGGTTGTCGCAAACGCATTATGTTGGTTTTGTGATGGCACAGCTCATTTGCTTTTCAGTTAATAAATTGATGAATTATCAATATGGTTAAATATTTTCAAATCACATGATTTGATATTTTTTTAAGTTAGTGTAAAATTAAACTTTCAATCTTGTGCAATCTTCAAATAAATGTTTTTACAATGTACATGTGTATCTTTTTAATGTGTGCTACTTCTCACAGTGTGTATGGTAAAAAAAAATATTCAAACTTCAGTCATAGTTTTCTGTTGTTTTTGTTTTTTGTTTTTTTTTTCAATTTATATTTTTCTGTTTCAGTGGGTGACCTGTAAAATATAAGGAAGAACTTTGAATTATTTTAAAAGTTACTTTTACATGAGGCAAGGCAGTAAAATTACAAAAATTCTTGGACATTTCTTACTTTGTATCTAGGTAGACAAATGTATAAACTTGATAAACTGCAACCATTGTTGTCTTAACACTTAAAGGAACTCCACTGAGGTTTATAAGCCTTAAAACATAAAATCTTAATTTTTCACATAGATAAACATGAGCACTTAAAACAGAAATATAAATAAGATATAATGAAGAAATATATAAGAAATATATTTAGAATCGTATTTTTGTGCTATTTTCAGTCCGATTTGAGTGAAAAGCGTCTAAACGCTTTTCAATTTTGGGACATTTTTCACTATCAAAATAATTATTCTGGAAAAACGGAGCGAGCTAATGATCTGAAATTTTGCACATAATTTATTGATATAGATCTACATCAAATGGGGTAAAAATCTCAAAAAACTTATTTCCAGTCCCGTCATGTCAAGAAACCTCAGTGGAGTCCCTTTAAAGCTAAAAGTTGTATCAACCAAATAAATCACATATAGAACTACATTGTAACTATGGTAACACAAAATTTTGGTTACATTTATCAATCGGCTTAAAAGAAAGTCATGACATAATAAAGGAAATTGTGAACATACTTGATCATTTCTCTTTAGAAATTGTGACCTAAATTCATTTCTGCTAGAAATTGTTTTATTAAGAAATTGTGAACAGAATTCAGCCATTCATTAAAAATTGTGAACATAGCTCAGTATATCCTTTAGAAATTTTGACCTAAATTTAGTTCTTGCGTTAGAAATTGTGAACATAACTCTGGTTTTCTTTTAGAAATTGTGAACATAAACTCAGTTCTTCTGTTAGAAATTGAGAACATAACTCAGGTTTTCTTTTAGAAATTGTGAACATAATTCTGTCATTTATAAGAAATTGTGAACATAGCTCAGTATTTCCTTTAGATATTGTGACCTTTTTCAGTTCTTCCAATATAAATCGTGAACAAAAGTCAGGTTTTATTTCAGAAATTGTGAACATAACTGTCATTCATTAGATATTGTGAATGTATCTCAGTATTTCCATTAAAATTGTGGACATCAGTTTTCTATTTGAAATTGTGAACATAACTCGGCATTAATTTTCGATAAGAAATTGTGAACACAACTCAGTATTTCCATTAAAATTGTGAACATCAGTTTTCTATTTGAAATTGTGAACACAACTCAGCATTAATTTTCGATAAGAAATTGTGAACACAACTCAGTATTTCCATTAGAATTTTGACTTAAATTCTGTAAAGTTTTGAACATAACTCGGTATTTCTAGTAACATTGTGAAGATACATGTATCTTAGTTACATAATTCAAGAGAAATTCAGATAATATAATTTAGTATTTTCGAGTAGATTGTTATAATGAGTTCATAGTATAATAATTGGTCCTATCGTACATCAATTGGTACAAAAATCTCAAAAAAATATTTTGAGTCCTATCATGTCAAAAAAAACTCAGGGAAGTCCCTTTAATCTTTGTCCATAAATGAATGATGAATATAAAATTAAAGAATATATTATAATATTTTGATGGAGATTTATTATTTCAATAATTTTACAAGAAAGAATTCTGGAAAAAGAAAGTGTCAAAGTGTGCAATTGGTTTTTATTTGCAGGCCTGGACATTAGCCTTGGTTTTTGGCAAGGACCACCTAATTTTGCAAAAATTTGGTCCGTCATAGACTATTTGAACTTTCTGGTTGATGCAGAGCTCATCTTGGAGAAGGGTGATTTGGTCAAAAATATTTTGTATATTTGGTGTTAAAATAGTGTATTTGTACAATGTACGTCCATTTATCCATGAGTAAAACCAAAGATCTTAAAAGACATCCATATTTTCTTATTTCAGTATGCAAGAAAACCCTGGCCTACACAGTTGAATTGAATTGAATTTCTTTAGTCTGGGCGTTCAAGGATAATCTATGAAAGTGTAAGCACTTATTTCCAGTAGGGTCCTTACCTCAGCAGACTCCAGAGACAGCTGTGAGATACAAGGGAATCCGGGAACCGGTCCCAAGCTCTAATTGAATAGACCCCTTGGTTCTTTTACATGCCTAGTGTATAGCACTGATCAATACATGTGAGGATTTCCTGGATTTCTTACCAGTACACCTCTATGTAGGCGGGAAACACTAAAAGTGTCTCTGAAAAATTCCAAGGGTGTTACTCAGGATCGAAGACGCTTCGATAACTTAGTGATGGTGGTGCAAAATACAAATCCTTTCCAATTTAATAGGCACGTATCACATGACTTACCATGTCTTCTATGTAACCACTATAATTATGCGTTTCTTAATATCGCGCACATGTAATTTGCACTTTTAACATGGCACTTTTGTTTAATGTTATAAAATAAAAAGTTTTGAGTAGGTCTAAACCAAAAAGGAATCGTGATCCAGTTACTTTACACACATACATGTCACCAGATACCTTGTCACACTCCTAGTCCAGTCAGTCTGTAAATCGACCTCAAACAAATTGCAACAGAAAATATTTTACCTGGTATAGAAAGTATATGGAATAACATGAATCATATCAAAAGTCTAGCAAAATCGAAGTTGCGCAACATAGAAAAAAACGGGTTTTTATCGCCTTAATTTTTGTGATTTTTTTCTGACGACAACGGTCTTCCATAGGCGAACAAAGCGTCTCCGATACTCAGAATTAGCGACTGCATAATGGCGACAACAACAACAAAAGTGTAAAACAAAATTAAATGTCAGTAAAGTACACTGTAAAGTAGGTTGGTATATTTTTTCCTTAAAATATTTACATATCATCATAGAATTATTAATGTGGGGTCGTAAGTTTATTATGAGTATTTGTTGAAAATTATTACATGTTTTACTAGTTCTTTATCCGTTGAAGGTCAACAGGAGTTTCAAGCGATCTGTATTATACTTTTCATGGAAAACAGTTTAATTTATATTAATTACAACTCTGATTAACTCCTGTCTTAGTAAACATTCAAAAAAAGCCTAAAAATGTGTATTTATAAAAAGTTAATTTCGACAGTATTTTTAAACTATGGAACGCCATTATCACTTTAATTATGACGAATTGCGTTTAATAAATTCTGAATACTTTAATCATGTTTTATTGTTAAATGTGTATTCAAGGTTGTTTTTTTTTGTATTTTTTAATAGTTTTTTAAAATTGTTTTACATACATAATGTATGTAATGTTATTATTATTTCAGGGGTACCGCTTTGAGGTAGTCTTCATTGATGTATGCTTGATTTTGAAAATAAAAAAAAATCCAGTAAACTATATGTACACTAAATGAGTAAGTTTGCTTTCCTGTGCTTACATTTGTAATATTTTTTACATATATATCACAAACATTATCTTTTACTAGTTTAAGTGAATATTAAACATGGAGGAGATAGAGCGTCGTATGCATAATTCAATATATCTGAAATTATTTTCTGTTTTTAATAGACATAGAAGAAATTTATACATGAAAAGGTGACATGAAAAATTTATCAATAAACAAACGTGATTTCTAGTTATAGTTCATGATTGGCGATGTGTATGAGTTCAAGGTAAACATGCACAGTTGATCCATAATTTAAAAGAAAATCTTTTATGCATACAATAGCACCTGCGCGAATTTGAAAAAGTGCATTACGTGTATAAGATTAATTCACAGCAATATATTAGTATTTCTTTCGGAATGCACACCTAAGTTGACTATAGTATAATTTTATCACTTTTAAAATCAAAATTTAAGCAAATACATGTAACAATAAAAACATCTGTGTATTCTATATAGAACCTTATTTCACGTAAATATGAAAATAAGATTCTAATCCTTTCAAACTTGACGTAATTTCTATGTTACAGATTTCATCAACACACCAGAGCCAATGGGTATGCCCGATCATGTGTTCTGAGGACACTGTGAAGTATACGAGTTAAAGGTAAAGATGCATAGTTGAGACATTTGTTTCACAAAATCACTTTAATTATATTTTTCATATAAGCAAACTTTTAAAGTGTGTCATAAGTTCCATATAGTAACATATCAGTACAAATATTTTTGAATGCATGCACGGATGGGCATTAGAAATGCTTAAAATTGAAAGGTGACATTTTTAAACTCAATATGTGACTTTATCTTTACGTTACTTCCAAACACTTTAACCAGTAGGTATTTAATATTTTTATAATTTTAGATTTAAACCTTAGAAAATAATAATAATATCTGTAATATGTTGCGGTTCGGATCGGAATATCCGTCCCGAGGTGACCCGTCCAGTGGGCGGTAACGAGGCTTGCATCTTATAATAACACGTACTGTTCTGGGATAACTGAAACAATACGTAATCAGCTACCAATAACCAGAATACAAGAATACAAGGGATGATCCAGAAATACCCGTAATTTAAACAATAAATTCAATAATATTTATTCAAAGTTCATATAACAAACACTTTATTACTGCGTAATATATCCTCTTTACAAGGAAACAAGAATATGATAATTAAACACAATATGCCTATCATATAAGCAAACATAGGATTTGTCACATTATGCAAAAAAGGTTGATGTTCTATTGTTCTTATACATAGGGAATCCTCCCGATGCCATTTCACTGTAAGTGTACTAACAACCTAAACCTATGACTATTGAACTGCTAATTGCTTTGATTGCTGGGATTCATACACATGATCATCTTAAAGTTGAAGGCATAAAATATATGATTCATTTAATTTAATTAGATAAAAAGTGCATGTGAAAGAAAACAAAGTATGAAAAACAGCACATAATCGTCAATTAGAATTCATTTTTTTA